ATGCTGAGCAGCCTGGAAAGAATTCCACAGTATTCGAATGCTGGAAAGAGGGTGGGATTTTTGTGTTTTCTTGTTTTGTTTTCTGTAGATAAGGCATCACAAAGTCATGGAACAGAAAAGGGTGATCCTGGAGGAGCAGGGCACAGGAAGGGGAGGCAGATCTAAGTCTAACCCCACCATAGGGGATCCTAGAGTTACTCCTGGGAAGGAAGAGCCTACGGGTCCTCTATCCAGTTCACCCCGTGACTTTCAGTGGGAAATTGCGGCTCAGAGAGGAGCAAGTGGTTGCTTAGAGTCACAGACATCAGCAAGGTGCAGGAGACATGGAGAAGACAGCAAGAAGAGGTGAGAAGACCTCAGACCATGAGAGAGACTCAGAACCCCACTGCCACCACAGCTGGGTCCCAGTGCCCAGCCTCCACCCTGCGGACTATATGCTCGTGGACCAGTCCCAGTGTGAGTCCACATCCCCTCAGGGTGGAGGCCCAGAAACAGGGGGACAAATGGCCCTCAGAGGCACCTCCTACCTTTGGGCCAGCTAAGCAGAGTTCACTGGAAAGAGGCAGATGTTCCCCAGCCAAGAATGGACACAGTGTGGTAAGTGGGCAAGTGAAGACCTGGGGCTGGAGTGGAACTATGGGCAAGTTTTCATTTCTTTCTTTTTCTTTTGGCTTATCTGTATATTCTTGTATTTCTGTAACAAATGGGTGTTATTTCTACAAGAAAGAAATTAAATACCAAGCCCAGCCTCCCACACTATCCTGGTTATACCCATAAATCATTGCTTATTATAAGAAGCCTAATATGTTGAACCTGACCACACTGCTATCCAGAGCTTGCCCTGAACTCAGCTTTTTTACCTCTACTATTAGCCTTCACCCATTCTACTTATCTGAAGTGAATTAGTCACTATTCTCTTTTCTGACACCTTTTCATCCTCTAATGGAATTCTTCCATCTTGTCCCTTTACCGAAATCCTCACCATTACCTTCATCATTATGTCTTTCCTCATTTGTCCTCCTGGAAGCAAAATTTTTTGTCTGTGTTGCCAACATGTTTTGTGTTCAATGCTCATATGTAAATTGTTGCTCATAATACCTATTTGTGTATATAACAAGAGGAAAAATTTGTCACCTTTGGCTAATTTATAAAGCATTTTTATATCCACCAATCTTCTTTTATGCTCACAAGATTAGGGGGAAAAAGAATCAATATTTACTTAATGGCAACTGTGTGTCAGACAGTGTGTTTGAGGTTTTATGTGTATCATTTCACTTAACCCTCACAGCAGTTTCATAGGTCTGTTTTACATATGAAAACATAGGCTCACAAGTTCATTGATTTACTGGGGTCTTACTGGCAAAAAGCATGGCTGAGGATTGTGTGTGTGTGTGTGTGTGTGTGTGTTTTAATATTTTGGTCTTGTTCTTTCTATTACAAGAACATAACTGTACATCTACCAATGTTGGAGACACCAATAAGTACAGATAAAACTCCACTCATGTTTTCTAGCACACTAGAATTGCTGTATTCAGTTAATATGTGGTAGCCAACTAAAGTCAGAGGATTTTAGAGCTAGGAGAGACCTGATAGATCATCTAAGCCAACCCCTGTATGTTATAGATGAGAAATACGATCTTCAGAGAAATAAAATTTCCTGTGTATACATGTGCCTAGTTAGTAGAGGAGCCAGGATTAAAACCCAATTGGAGGCAGTATAGTAAAGTGGTGAATACTATGGCCTTTAGAGTCAGCATTGTTCCAAATCACAGGTCTGATACTTCAAGATTGTGTATAACCTATAATGATTTACAGATCTTATCTTTGTTTCAGTTATTCAGTCTGTAGGAGGAGGATAATAAAACCCTATAGTGCTGTGAGGATTCAATGTAACACTGAATAGCAGAAAGTAAGCAATATTAATATTAGGTATTCTCTTATAGCCTATCTCACTGTCCAATCTTCTTTACAGGATACCACCATTGCCTTTTTTAGATGACTGACGTGGACATATTTCGAGGGCAAAGTGAGTAATAATAAATATGCATTTATTTATGTGGTAACTCCCTTTTAAAAAACACACTTAAAGATAAAAACAAGAACAGCACATTTGAAAATGGAATTGATCATTCAATAAGTGTTTATTGAACACCTACTTACTTTATGTCGGGCACAGTGCTAGATGCTGGGTGTGAGATAATGAAAAAACTGATATCTCAACCTTCATAAGCACTGAAATGTGGTTAAAAACAAAGTATCACTGCCCTGGCCAGGTAGCTTAGTTGGTTAGAGCATGGTCCTGATATGCCAAGGTTGCAGGTTCAATCCCTGGTCAGGGCATTAAGAAGCAACCAATAAATGCATAAATAAAGTGGAACAACAAGTCGATGTTTTTCTTTTTCACTCTCTCTTCTTTGTGTCTCTTTAAAATCAATTAAAAAAACATCACTGAGATCTACCTATGGGGCATGCAAAGCAAATATCTTTCATATAGTTAATACAATATAATAAAGTACACATCACAATGAGACTATACACACACACACACTCACACACTGAGTGGCTAGATTATTATGACCACCTGACGTTTGTAGGCAAATTAGCTATAATTTTGCACTGAAGTTGCTAGAGGGCCAGACCATTATAAATAGGGAAGCACGTTGTTTACCACGACAGAAGTGACTTTTTTTCTGAAGATATGTGTAAACAATGCAATTTAACAGCCTTTGAACGTGGGAGATATATGTGTGTGTGTGTGTGTGTGTGTGTGTGTGTGTGTGTGTATATAGAGAGAGAGAAAGACTTTCAATAAAACAAGATACTCTTTAGAATTAAGTTCTGTTATTTCTAGTATTGGTCATTTCAACTATATTTTAGTGAATTCCCTGACAATTAGGTTATTTCTATTTCTCTACATTAAATAGAATATTGGAATGGGTATGTTTAATTAAGCATATTCCCTTAAAATACGTGATAATCACCATCTGTCTGAAGGTTATATGAGCAGGAGAGAACAGTTTTGCTAATAACCACCAAATAGCAGTTCTTGACAGGGCAGTACAAAGTTTAATTTCATGAATTTTTGATCATTCTCTTTCTCCATATACACACATGCATAAGTGTGTATGTATGTAAATATGTATAAAAAGCTGCCTAAAGAGATAGCTGATACTCTGGACGTAGAATCACAAATATACTGATAATCTCTTGGATTGCTTATATTTGTTTGAATTAGGATAATAAAACTGGCCAAGGATCAACACAGAAACCAGATTACTCATATAATCTGATTAGCCATAATACCCTATGTTAATCTCTAAAGTCCCTAAAACATTCCTTACTCCTTACAACGTTAACATAAAAAGTTAACTTCTTAATTCCCTGGCACAAGAATTTGATACACTATCTGTCCAATTTTACCCGAGAGTGAGGATGACTGTCGTTATTATGAGAGGAAGTAGAGAGCACCGTACAAGAGCCCAAGTGTAGAGTCGGGCAGTCTGGGTCCAAACGTCAAGTGCCATTTAACTGTGTGATTTGTGGGGATGTCTGAGTCTCAGTAACACATCTTTGAGTTTCAATATAAAATGTTTGCAAAACAGGGATATGATTTTTCTTGTAGAACTGTAGCAAGTTTAAATAAAATAATGAAAGTATGGTGTCTGGCAGACAATAGCTGTTTGTGGTTAGTATTAGTGACTGGCTATATTAACTTGACAGGAGATACCACAAATCAAGAGTAATGATTTACAAAATCACTGCCTGTCTAAACACATGTTGCTATATGGACACATGTAACGTCCATTAAATTATTACAATCCTTTCACAATGGGAAACATAAAGGGAAAACACAAGATCTGATAAAAAATGGCAAAACTGAGATGAAAGGAGATTATAAGAATTTGGTGAACTAGTATTAAGATTAGAAGGTCCATGTGCTGTTCAAAACATGGTGCATTGCTTTCAAAAAAGTAACAAGGCACTTGCTGATGCATCAGAGGCCTTCAATTGGACATATTTATTGCATTTTTCTTTATGGTAAAGTTATCCCAGGAACTTGTTTTGTAATTGGCTGTTTTAGGGAAAAAAAAAAATCAGCTGGCTTTTCTGGAGGGAAAAAAAAAGTAATTTACATATAAAGTGGTGAGTGAAAACTGCTTACCTCAGGAAACTGCATTACTCAAGAAAGACAAGAGTCGCCAAGGTTTACTACATCATGTTTTGTTTTAAATCGTCGGCTGAATGAGAGCACCTTGCCTCTTTACAACTTTTCTGGCTACCCCGGACCTCCATCTAAAATTCTCCTGATTGAGGAAGCCTGGAGCGGTGAGCCAGGACACCTTCCAAGAGAGTGCACGTGTTTCCTGATCACTGGTGTTTCCAAAAAGTAAAGCATGCATTTAAAAGCCCACGGTTTACACTTTAAGCTTGTTCTCTACCTCATGAGCTCATAGCAGCCAGGAAAATAAAGACCATTCTCACCTAATTCAAAACAGCTGCGAGGATGTTGAATTCTAGATCAGGCACAACCCTCACACCCCACTTCCAAATTGTTTGTAAAAGGTGTCCAGGACTGCCTGCTTTTCAGACACTGCAACCCAGGGCAACGGAAACGGTATTCAGGAAAAGTATCATAAAAATCAGCTCTGGAGAAACCCTGCCAACAACGGGAGAGTAAGAGCACTCTTTGATCATTAGTAGAGACACTCGGCAGTAAACCGAGTTGCGGTACACGGGGTCGTCACCCTTGCTGAGGGACTTTTGGAGACGGGAGGTCAATTTCCAACTTGGGGCTGGATACTGCAAGTGGAGAAGCGGGTAAGCCGCGCTCCCAGGGCCTTCTCTAGCAGTATAGAGGGCTAAACACCACAGCGATGGATGGATGGATGGGGACTCCTGGTGCAACCCTCGCCCGCTTGCTCCTTGGTCCAGCCAAGATGCCGTACGTTGCCCTGACCGGAAATACCAGGCCCAGGAGGCAACGCGTAAAAATCACTTACCATTATCCCACCTCCAGCGCGGATCTAGCAGGAGCCAGGCCAGCCCACCTGACAACGGCTGGATAGCGTCACTGACAACCAACCGGAAGTGATCCAATAGCTTCCGGGACCACGGAGCGCGCGGCGGGAAATTATTTCCCAGAGCCCGGATTAGCGGAGCAGCCAGTGCTGCGGCGGCAGTCGGCAGTCTTCTCCCCTGTCACCCCTGCTACCGCCTGAAGGAAGCCAGACACTCCGGCCTGGAAGGTAAAGGGCCTCCACTCGGAAGATACAGTGTACCCTGACTCCGTGGGGATGCTTCCTCTGTGCCCCCGAAGTTTACCGTTCTCAGTTGAGACGCTAGGAAGGGGCGGGGGTGCGCGGCGCCTAGGCTCCCGCGTGGGTGCGCGGTAGCGGCAGACCCCGCCCTGCCCCGCCGGCGCCGGGGAGGCGATGGCCCCGAGCCCCTCTCTGCTGTTTGGGGGGCCGAGCGTTTTCCCCGCCCCTGTTTGCGCCGCTCAGCAGCTCGGTCTCCAGCCAGCCGGGCGCTAGGCCACCGGCGTCTCTCGTTTCCATAGAACCGACTGGGACGCTTCTCCCAGAACCCCAGCTTCTTGGCCGCTTTCTGTATTTTCACGTCACAGCAGGTGGCGGGGATCTCCCAGGCCCACCTCCCTGTGACGGGGGAAATGGTGTCATTCTTTTCTTCCTAGGAGAATTTTTAAACATGTTCAAATGGTAGTGCAGCAACTACGATACGTCTGCAACGATCACACACACACACAGGCACAGGCACACGCGCATTTCCCTGAAGGTGGGAGGGTCCGTGTTCCTGTGGGTTATAATATTTTAGCGACCTAAAAGGCTGGGAACCAGACTTAACGGTAATTCTGGGGTTTCTTCCACTCCCAACGCCTCTGATTAAATAGTGGCAAAAAAAGCTGGCCTGTCGCAGGTACTCCATATCAGAATTGGACCCAGAAATTAGATGGAGCTTGATGTTGGAAGCTCTTTATTTTTAAACAAATGACTATCCTATATCAACAAAATAAAAAGAAAATTTTACCATGGAAACCGTAGGAATTAAAATTAAAGCAGTACTTACTTAAGTGTACGAATGACGCACTGCGCCTTGTGAACTTTTTCGTTTGTTAGTACGTTATGCCTCAGTCACTAGAAGTATCTTTTGATAGGCAAGATGTTCCCATTTTAGAAAAAGTTTAACCTGTATTGCAGTTGTTCAGTACATAATTGAGAGTTTGGGGTAGACTTTTATAAGGGGAATTTGATCGTGTCTTCTAAGTTAACCCAAGGGTTAATATACATTGTAAATGTATACTTGAATGTATAAATTTTTCAACTACTTGAATGTATAAATTTCTATTGTAAAGACAGTCTTCAATAATGCAAATAAGCCCCACTTAGAGCTGTTCTCTAAATCCACAGTTTCTCTTATGTACTTAAGTTCATTTATATGTTTGAATATTTTCCTGCTTCCCTAAAGCAGAAAACATAAATCATGTGGAAGTCTTTGAAAAGGTGGTCAAATGTGGGTACTTTTCATAATCAAAATTCAAAACTCTGAAGATTTCATAATAGTTATCCACAGTTTTTACTAATGTCTAAAAACATTAGGTTTTAGAAAAGCAAATATATGGCTTCATTAATTAGACAGTATTTTCTTGATTATTCTAAGATAGTCTTTTCACTATTTAAAGAAAAAAATTTAAAAATAAAATCAACAATTCCATAGATCTTCCGAATAATAAAAGCTAAAGATAGTGAAGAATCATATTTTTCAAAAATATAACTAAAGTGGAATATTTACTATTGTGATTGACTCTCCTTAAATATGCTATAAAATACACTATATACTGTTTCTTACCTTTGAAGGACATCTTGCTGCTTAAAAGTAAAAAATCCCTAAAACTTTTAGGTTCACATAGTTTTTACTTTATATCAAAATTATTTGAAATAACAATACACTTTTTCAAAGTTAGCAATTGTACTTTATCATTGAGTAATAGTTAAAATTTTTTTTTTTTTACGAAGAAGAAAAGCCCATATGAATTAGTCTGGTGATTAATACCAAGTCTATTTTGAGAGAAATAATGAAAACTTTATTTTTTTATTAAAAAATGTCACTCTTGACTTTCTAGAAATGCTTTGAAATTTTAGATATTAGTGTTATTTTTCTGAAATTATTTTATATTATAAATATTTTCAGTGATATTATCTAAATGTCTCCCCACCCTCATAGTAGATTCCTTTTCATGCAATGTATTTTTCTCTTGCATTAACTGAAAATAGATTGCTTTGTAAAATTATATTGTAGTTAAAAGTATTAGACAAAATTCTGATAATTAGTGATGTTGTAGAAAGGCATACAGCTTTTGCAGAAACAGATTTAGGCTTTTGAATCTTGTTTTCACCATTGACTAGCTGTGTGGCCTTGAGCTAGTTTCTTAATGTCTCAGGTTCTCCAATATCCTTAATTTGTATATGGAGGGTAAACAGCACTTGCATTGTTGAGAAGGAAATGAACTAAAATATATGAAGTGCCTAGATCACAGCTCAATTGAAATCCAGCTTGTTCAACCTTAGACCTTATGCTCCTACTAAGTAATACAAAGTTCTTAGTATACTGAAGCAGGTGTGACTTTCACCCCCCTGCCCCCATGACTAACCAATATCTACTGTCCACTCATTATTTTTACCCTGTCATACCTCTTGTTTTCCTTAAGGGCCCCTTTATCCCTAAAGCTAGCATCTCCAGATCTGTCTGTTTTTTGTACAGTACTGGATATATCTCCATAAATCCTCTTAGCTGCTTAATTCTTCCTCACTACAGTTACTGTGCTGCTGCTTCTCCACTTCCTTCCTGTACTGTCAAATATACCATCTAAGAGCCTGGTCATGACTGTTTCTTTACTTAATAATGTCATTGAAGTTAGAACATCCCACAAGTCTTGCCACTGGAGACCTTAGTAAAATAAATTTATATTTGTATATTCTAGTACACACACACATCCCATACCTTTGAAGGATGTGGCAGGAAACAGACGCTACATCTTTAAAAAAATAAAAAAGAAAATCCAAAGGCCACCAGAATGTAATTCAGCCAAAGCCAAAAGAACACAAAATTCCTAAACTCCACGTGATGTTATAGCATTCAGAGCCAAATAGTATTTGACTCATACAGTGTGAGTATTGGGATTTATGTCTACCTTTTGCAATATTGGTTAAAACAGAGATCCAACACTTTACTGACCCTATTTAATTTTAGAACTTTTTTTACTTTCCCAGCTAAATTTCTTACGTAACAGAAGTCATGAAAATCTTCCAAACTTGAATTCAAAGTAACAATATTGGTTGTATTCCTAGAGGGGAGTATAAAAGTTATTTTCCTTAGGTTTTAAAATAAAAAAAAAGTAGATTTAAAATTAAAATAGTTCACTTGAATAACAAACATTAAGAAACTACTTGTTTGCCCTAAAACATTAGAGCCTTAAAACCATGAAGAATATTCAGTGGCATGGAAAAAGTGATCACGATATAATTTTATATAAAAAGGTACAGAACTGTATAATATTTAATTTTCATGATATATATCTTTTCATACACAAGTCAAAATCCTTTCCTTTTCCCCATATATTAACAGTGGTATTACAGGGTGAAGGAATTTAGAAGTGATTTGAAACTTTCTATATACTTTGTAGTATTTTTCAAATTTTCTATAATAAGCATGTGTTAATAGACAAATCGATAAAACTTATTTTGAGGAAAAATTTTAGTTCTTAGATGCAAATTTATAAATTAAACTTTTTTAAAAATCCCTTTGTTATCTTAATAGCATACAACTTATAAGATACATTATATTCTCAAAGTTGTATGATACACCATGGCTGCTCATAAAATAAATTATAATGCAGATTAGGAAAAGTTTCTCCTTATTTTTCTACCATAGACCTCTTGAAAGCATCTCTCTAACCCTTCTCTTTTTTTTTGTAACATTTTCCTCTTTAACCCAACTGTTGCATCCTGCACTTTCCTCTCCCTCCTGGACCATATCTTTATATTCATATCTGTATTCCTACCTCTACTTTTCTCCGTGTTCACTTTTCAACATTTTATGGCTGTGTGTCATATTTTTAAAGTGTGCTCTAGCTATGTGTCATAAAGAATTATAGGACATAAAAGCTAGTGCATAATGTTCTTAATTACGATGAATGCTATAGGTTTATTTGCATTTCTGACTGGCACCAACTGCAAAGGAATTTCAGGCATCAGGGATAGGCCCATGTGGGAGATATTTTGGGAAAGTCCATACCACAGAGACAGTTGCTTGCTCTGCATAAATGCCAGCTCTGCTCTCAATCATTATCTCCTTAGTTTGTGTATTAAATGGTTCAAGGTAAGTGACCAGATTTTTAAAATTACTATAATATTTTACAAAATTGCTACAGAGCATTTTCTTTAAGAATCTAGTATATAATTTTTATTTTTTGACAGTAAGAATAACATTTAATTGTTAAGTAAGTGCTCGTTTTGGTTTTTCTCTTTTACTGTGTAATCTCGAAGGACCACCTCCTGTAAGTTCTAGAAAAGTATATAATTTCCCCAGAAATGCCACTGATACAATTGCATTGCAGTATATTTATTTTCTTTCTTGTGTTGGAAGTCTTCTAGAAGTTAGCTCTTGATCCTCCATACCCCATAACACATCTTCTACAAAAAACTTGACCCTACTTTTAAGATCTTGGAATTATTTGGGTCATTGATAGTTATTATACTAGTTTTGTATAGTGCTCTCTTTGGGTTTATTACATATTAGATTAGACTATTGTTTATTGTTTTCTTAATCCTGCAGGGTCATAGGAAGAACCACTAAACCACTAATTTTATAAATACAAAAATCTGTCCATATATTTATATATGTCTATGTCTAATATATATAGATAACAATTTTCTCATGAAACTGTATGAATTAGATCTATGACCTAGGTCCTGGGTTATTAGTCTGTCATGTGATATGATATTAAGAATTGCTGAATATATTGTAAATGCTTTTGCTTCAAATAGATCATTTTATTATAGGAAGCTATTAGATTAGGTTA